TTATTTGTATGCCCAAATGCCTTTCTGAATGAAAGTCAGGTGCCATAAAGGTTGGTCGAATATGCCATGTTAAAGACAAAATAAGTGGCCACCAAGAGCATCGACAACTGAATCAACTGTGGCGGTTTTCACATTTTCAGATAGATGTAAAATTTTGTCTCTTGACATAAAGTCTCCTGAGTACTGGAAGTAATTATAGGCTGAACTGAATCTCCCAGACAACTGAATTTTCGAAGCAGGCATCCACATTCTTCCTTCAAATGAAGCGGCAAACACAAAATGCCAGCACACCATGTAGCATCTACATGTAAAGAAAAAATATATACTCATTATCATCTACTAATGAGATGTAGCAAATGATGAATATACTTTACATTTGCAGTGAACTCTGTATTAACTGTAGTCGTCAATGTCTAACATTAGCTTTGGATGTGTTCTACCAAATTTTCTGTTGTCAAAGGATGCAATAAACATTAAATCCAAAAGAATTAACAAGATGAAATTGTGCATACATGTAGGGTCGCAAAAATGAGCTTAATTAATTAAAAAAGTGCCAAGTAATGAGTAACATGTAACGAGTAACTTGTAAATCTCACTTTTATTTACTAGGTTTACACTGTTGCAAGAAAGAATTGTTTCATGATTAAGTGCAGGATCTAAAAATAAATATGTCATTGCATATATAGGTAATGTGCAAGTGAAAATAACTCATAGCAGTTACATTATTTTATGAGTAGAGGATTGTGTTCAATGCAACCAAGGATAATTTTATTGGGATACTAAAGCGTTCAATTTCAAGGTTTTCATCTCAATTATCCCAAAAGGAAATTATATGGATTTAAAACCCCCTGGTTTTGTGAACCCAAATGAGGGCGGGCATAAGTTGCCAAATTTTTTTTGACGTCATCATTAGACCCACAATCTGCGCAACCATATCACACTGAAGAAGAAAGCAGCCTAAGCCTGGCTTGCGGAAACTCCTGACATTTTTATAAGGTTATTTTGCCTTTATTTTGAGACAATACAGAATGATGCAAACCATGAAATTGAATTCAATGTCTTTTTAGAGGGAAGCATTTCAAAAAGAACTGTAAAAAATATTGAAAATTAAATGGTACATACACTTTCTGTCAACATCAGAGCGTGCAGACGCCATATAGCTTCTTTAGCCTCTTGCAGTTCACTAGAGTCCCCCCTCATGGAAGCTCCTTTTCCTTTGGGCTGTGGCAAATTGACAAGACCTTGTCCATAAAAATCCAAGTTTTTGGCCATTGCTGACTTAATATCCTTCTCCGATAGCCTTGTGAATTCATTAAATAACTGAAAATAAGTAAACATTTTAATTAAAGATAAATTCAACAGATAAAAATATGAATTTATTCTAAAAATTGATATGGTATAATATGTTAAGAACTTGCTAGCCAGATCAAACACCGAAAGCCTTTTTTACATGAACTGATCTTTTAAAACAAGACTGTAACTTAATAACAGATAAACACGACAGCAAATTGAAAAGCGGAAGTTTAGCCTAACCTCTGTGGTCCAATTTGAGAAACACAATGACCTGATTTTCTACTGCTATATCCGCACAGCAGTGGATACAAAAATGATAAATACTACATGATTTATTTTTTAAAAGCTTACAGGGTTTTGTGATTTTTTTATTAAAGCTAATCAGAACAAATCTGTGTGAGAATATAACGGAGGCTCATATTGCAGTTGTATTCTTTTTATTCTTCCGTAAATACAAGTCATGATCTCCATTAGTTTAACAGTGAAAACGTTGATGTCTATACCCTTTACTGTAATCCTGTAATAATAAACAAATATAGTACTTAGACTTCGTTCGTTATTATTTTACCTTTCGTTGCGTTACAATCTAAGTATACTCATTAACTTGTTATACAGTTTTTCTAATAGGGACAGTCGGTCATCCGGGCACTTTACCTTAGCAACCGGCATCTGGGGTAAAACAAATCGGGCAACATGGCGGATCGCATTGACTACTATGTAAAAGTTGGCAGACTTTGTCCGAAGATATCATACTTCACAGTTCCTGACCACTTGTGTCAGTGAGGATGAGTTATTTACCTGGTCGATTTCCTTTACAGGCTTTTGTAAATAGCCGCTGCACACCTGGTTAAGAGATAAAATCAGCNTGGCATTTTGCTCAGGCTACGGCCCTGAAGACAGACGCGAATATAACGGAGGCTCATATTGCAGTTGTATTCTTTTTATTCTTCCGTAAATACAAGTCATGATCTCCATTAGATTAACAGTGAAAACGTTGATGTCTACACCCTCTACTGTAATCCTGTAAAACAAATATAGTACTTAGACTTCGTTCGTTTTTATTTTACCTTTCGTTGCGTTATAATCTAAGTATACTCATTAACTTGTTATACAGTTTCTTTAATGAGGGCTTTCGCTTACACGCTTTCGCTTACACACTTAAGTTATAAGACTTACTTCTAGGTTTGGACATTATTATTACTTTTGCATTTTAAACTATTAGCCTTTAACTATTGTTATAAAATAAAAAAGAGAGTAAATTACCTTGACTTAAAGAAATATGTTAAATGTGAAGCGCTCTTTTGCATGAAACCACATGGTTCAGACATCTTACAACAAAAAAATAGTACCGGAAGAACAAAAATGACTGCGTTTTAACATTGTAAAAAATATATATATGTTAAACTGCAAAAATGTAAATAATGAAAACCAAAAGACAATAATAATTTAAAGAAACACAATCACAAAGTGTAAAAGATAAGTAAAATAAGCTATCTGTGTGCAGGACTTATTTCCCGCGTAGTAAAATAAACGCAAACGAAAAATGCATACTTCCGTCGCAATCTTGTGAGAGCATCTATCACAATCACTACACTATTATCACTGGCTGCAGTTACAGCGAATACTTTTAATCTTATGTCCCCTAGCCAGTTAGTCTGCAATCTCGAGATTATTATTATTATTATTATTATTATTATTATTATTATTATATTTTGTTTTTTATGTGATGATTCTTGTGACCTTTAGTAATTACTAAGATGTCGGAGTCATACCATGATTCTACTTCTTCTTCTCATTATTATTTTTATAGCACAATCCTTACTCCTTTCAGATACCTGTTTTAAAATTGACATTCTACTGGCACCTGAACTCGCTGTGTCATCTATTATCTACTGCTCTGTGATGCCGTTTTGTTTCTCGTGGCCTGTGATGCCGTTGCCACCATTCTGTGTCCTGTCCTGGCATTTCTCCTAAGCGAGTCAGTGCTTTATGTGATAAATAGGCGCCATTTTCGACCGTCCATACACAAGGAAGTATCAGAACAGAGATTGTGAGTTAATTTGACAAAGAAAGAGATATGATCTGACCGACTTGTAGGTATATGGAGCAAGTGTTTATGTTACTGTGATCTCCAAGCTGCAGCACCAGAAGTGAACATAAAGTTTAGCAATCGCTGACAGAAATATTACAGGATCTACTGTCGGAATGGGAGCCATGTTAGGGCAGTCTAGACGAGGTGTAAATCCAATAATAGGACAGGTGACAGTACAGACACAACCTCCATTAGCTGAACAGGAAACAAATCCAACATCAGCTCCACATCCTCATGTTTTCTTAGACAAGGCAGAATGTGTGCGTTCCTTCAGTCCTAAACTGGAAGATGATAGAGACATTTACATATCTGGGTTAGCCATAGATAAGGAACACATGTTTGTTGTGGATAATAGAAACAACAGAACAAAAGTATTCACACATGAAGGACAATTTAAGTTTAACATTAAAGTAAACAAACCATGTGATGTGGCTGTGTCACAGACTGGTCACCTGTATATAACATCACTGGATGACAGTTGTGTCCAAGTGTACTCCACCAGAGGTCAGCAGGTGACAACCATGGGTCAGGGTCTACTGGAGGAACCACTGGGTATTACACTGAACAGACAAGGTCATGTGATGGTTTGTGACAGTAGAAAGAAGTCCATCTTCACATTCCATGCAGACAGTGGACAGCTCCTGAACACTATTCCACTCAGTATGTGTAGAGACCCAGACTACATCACAGTGAACAGTGTGAATGATAACATTGTGATATCAGACTGGGACAGTGACGTGTTGAGATACTGTGTACATGTGCTGTCACCTACTGGTAATCATCTGTACCAGTATGACGGCAGCAGAGAAGGCAGTAAACTGTGGTATCCACATGGAGTGTGCACAGACAGCTATGGTCACATCTTCATTGCTGACAGTAGTAACCACAGTATAGTGGCACTGAGTCCACAGGGACAGTTTATCAGATACATTGTCACTAAGGATGATGGGTTGAAGTATCCCAGTGCAGTAGTCATCAACCCTGCTACTGGTCAACTGGTGGTGGGAGAGATGAATGGCAATGTTAAGACATTCCAGTACAGTGACCTGAAACAAGGTGAGTAACATGTATTAACTGTGGGTAGATATGAGGGATAATAACTCTTCATATGAGATCTATATTTCACAATAAAAACATTGTGAATAACTCACAGAAATAAAATATATTCTGTTTTACCACAAAAACGGCAGTTATAGCTATTATTCTGATATCTGAGCTTGTCTTTAGACCACGTGACCTCCATTGATGGCTATACTCTGTTAAAATCTCTTAAGAGATTTTAACAAAAAACCAAACTTTTTAGAAAAAAACCAGGGACTAACTTTGAATGTGAAAATGGATTTATTAACCATTGGTAAGTATGGGAAAATTGTTGTTTACTCCAGGAAAATTCATTTTTTGGCCGAAACGAAGAGTTATTATCCCTTTAATTTAAATCAATATTTATTTAAACCACATCCCAATGGTCAAACATGCATACAGCTGGTCCAAAATGTCAAAATCATGATTTCATCTTTCTAAAGCTGTTATAATCGAAATATTGGAGGTAAAAATTATCTCAATATTAGCTGAAGAAAAATCACATCATTGTTATAATCCCCTTTTTAAATTCAGCTCACATATTGAGAAAGTTACCATGTAGCAAACCAGTCAAATCAGACATGGCACTCACCTGTGCCCTTGAGACATCAGAGCAAGCACCGCACACCAGTTCAGTGGGGTCGTAGTCATCTCCGCCCTCCAGCTGTTCATCACATCGGGCTTCTCCACCATAATAAGCCTGAAGAAGAACGCCATTTATATCCACTGAAAGCACTGGAGAAATCTGTTGTAGTTTTATATGATGATCTCTTGCCCAGCAAAATGACTTCAACATTACATGCTGCAGGTGGAACACCATTTACAGACATTAAAATTATTGAGGATATCTGTTGTGCAAATGCTAATGATCGAAAATAAGTTTATCTTCAGGTTGGTGATCTTAACGAACATACTTTAGTCAAAACGGATTGGCTGAAGTAGAGCAATTACTTCATATAAACCTATTAGAATGCCGAACAAAAAAATATAATTGCCATGAGATCTAGATCTGAATCTTGCTACTGACCTTCTTGCATTTGTAACACACATAATAAGCATATCTGTCCATGGCAAAGCCTGCTGGATCATTGTAAAACCTCGCACCAGCCGTAGTAATAGCTTCACTCTTATGCAATCCTTCGTATTCCAGTCGCATTAGGGCTTTACGCTTCACGTCATCATACAGTTTGCGTGTAGGATCAAGCAAATCCTTCAGCAATGGGTGGTCAATCTCACGCTGTGAAAAGTAGGTCAAGAAAATTGGTCAGTATGTTTTAATTTTACAAAATTAAAAGAACTGCTTAACAGCTTTCGTCAAATGGGAATCAAAGAAATGTGTTCAATAAAGAGTTGCAATTACAACCAATGATATCTAACCTTGCATATTGGACAGGAAGCAAACCCAAATGTTATCCTTGGCCCAATCCAGCCTTTCTCCAGGACTTTGCGACAGCAGTGAAGGTGAAACACGTGACTGCAGATTAACTTAAACAGAAAGAAAATTTACATACTGAGTAATTTTGCAGTTAATGTAAATCATTGCCAAAGGAAAGTGCGACAAGACTATAACATAAATCTGTACATTAAACACTGTACTGGTACTTAAATGCAACGTGGAAGTCTATACAAAAAAGCAGAGACGTTTCTGCCACATACATACCTGTATTGCTGGTGCTGCAGACAAAGCTTCAGTAAAGCATATCATGCACATGTCGTCAGCATCCTGTTTGAGAGCATGAGTCTGTCCTGGATTCTTACAGCCATGGAGGCAAGGAAGACAGGGATACTCCCCGGCTATACCACCACACATGTGACCACATGACTGCACCTTCCTGCAGGCAGTCTTGGCATATTCCTGGAAAAACGGAACATCTATGATATAAAATTTAAAAAAATGCATCGGAGGAAGTAGCTTTGGCATGGGGTATATGTGGGTACACTTAACAGCACATATGACCACAGAGAAAATAAAAATTTAAAATAATTAAAGTGATAATAACTCTTCATTTTGGCCAAAAAATGAATTTTCCTGGAGTAAACAACAATTTTCCCATACTTACCAATGGTTAATGAATCCATTTTTACATTCAAAGTAAGTCTCTGGTTTTTTTCTAAAAAGTTTGGTTTTTTGTTAAAATCTCTTAAGAGATTTTAACAGAGTATAGCCATCAATGGAGGTCACGTGGTCTAAAGACAAGCTCAGATATCAGAATAATAGCTATAACAGCTGTTTTTGTGGGAAAACAGAATATATTATATTTTTATGAGTCACTCACAATGTTTTTATTGTGAAATACAGATTTCATACGAAGAGTTATTATCCCTTTAATATTTTGAAAATTTTCTACTTGTGCTACACTTCACATAATTATGCACTTGTTTACAACTGCATTGCAGCCACTGGACAGAATGCAGCTAGAACCTTGTGCAGGTATGTTAGAGGTATGTTAGGTATGTTTTAGACAGAAAGTGAACTTACTGGGATTATATAATCACTTGGCAATCAACCTTCAAAGATCATCTTTCAAGAGCAATGTAGTTGGCCAAGTGGTAGAAGGCTAAGATTTTGCTTCAAAATCTGATTTGGACTTGATAAAGTGTTTATGGTGCTGCTTACCTGACAGTCGGGGTCTGAGCACACATTCCCCATTGACAGCAGACCTGTTGAACTCTGGTTGCCACAGAAACGGCACACTCCCATGGAGATAGCACTGGTTAGAGTCTTACCTGCAAAAATCATGGAGGTTTTCTAGGCTTCACCTTCAAGACAACAAGCTTTTACAATGAACTAGCATGCAACAGTAACTGGTTTTGTTGTAGAAAACAGGTATACAAAGAACAAAAGAGGTTTTCACACTTGACAGGTGTGTTATGCACTGAGAATTTCCCTAAACACATGCACTGAAGATGTTATGCTTCAATCACTTGTGGCCATCACGAATGACTGCCTTCCTCGAAATGATGTTGATTTGTCTGACCTCTAGGCAATTTTATTGCCAAGATTCTCAGCACACCTGCATTGGTTTGAGAATTATTAACTTTCAACCAAAATATTCACAAGCTTACATTGCACAGAGAGCTTCTCAATGTATTCACTTGCATTTAAAATTCAGAAAAATACAGAAAATTTATTATCTGCAAGAGTTCTGTTGCCAAGGTTACTATCAAAATGAATTAAAAAAGAATGTTTCTTAAGTTCACAGTTAAATTCTACTCAACAGTCTCTTAATTTAAAGCTCTCTACCTCTGTCTCCTTCTCTGAATTCCACCATGGCCTTCAGACTTGCAGAGTCTGCTAGCGCCATCACCCAGAACAACTTTGTACGACCACAGCCTTCATGAAGGTCCACCCTGATTGCCTCCTCTTCCTCTTTGAATACCTAAAAAACAATTTAAAGAGAAAATATTAAACATAAATTCCATAATAAATATCAGCTTGCCACAAGCTAAAACATGAAATTTCATCAAATCCTCTAAATGTTTCACTTATGCTATAGTCTATAAATATAAAAATAGAAAAATCATTTCATTAAGTTTGTAAAAAAAATGATTTAATAAAAAGAGATGAAATGCTAAACTGACAGGATTACGACTACTTCCCATATAAGAATTCTCTGCACCAGGTGAACAGAGGAATTTCTAGCACACCATCTGTTTTACATCTTTTCTCTTTTCTAGTAATAGCACTGTGTTTAAACAGCAACACGTATATAAAAATAGCTTCATTAAAATCTAACGTTCATCTTTAAGGCCTTGAGGCCTGGTCCTGACCTGTCTCTTGTGGGACCTAGTTCTCTTGTGCAGGTGAAGAAACCTGTCACAGTCTGCGCACAGATTGCCGCACATGTCACACAAGATGATGGCAGACGTCTCTCCATCGTCATGGTTATCACACGTGGGCTGAAAGAAAACGCCATCACGTTGAGTTCATTTCACATGCGCACACCAAACATTTTACTCTGATATATCTAGAGACCTTTATCATCATTTGTTTCTGACAGATAGCCTACTACAAGTACAAACTACAAACAACAATTTCATGTAAAAAAAAACTGCTGAAAGAAAAAGTTAAAAGTTACATTTTGAACACCTAGAAAACTTTTTAGCAATATTTAATATGAAGACATGAGATTTCAACTGAGACAATTAAACAGACCTTTTGACAGACCAAGAAAACTCACCCTGGGTTGTCCCTGCTGACCATCTGGACTAATCCACTGACCTGAGGACAGACTGACCACGTGATCATGGTCAAGGACACAAAGGGATGCCAGGGCTAGCCACAACTAATGGAAACAATGCATTTGTAACTATTAAAATCACAGAAGTCAATGTCATTATGTTGATATAAATATTCTTATAGCTGGGATGAAGGTTTTGGAGATTAGCAGATGTCTGCAATTATCAATTTTTAATTCTTTAACTGGTCTAATGAAAAATTACAATACATATCTTGTTTTGTCTTGTAAGAGGCTGAATAAAAAAATACATATGTATATATTACAGAGAATGTTAATAATGGAGCATACTGTATGGTTATCAAGAAATTGGTAATACTTGGCAACTGCTGTAATAAAATGACCAAAACTATGGAAATATTTATAAAATGGCTTACAGTTGGTGTTTTAATGCATTCTGCTGGCACTCTCAAGTTCTCTCCCATCTTGGTGAGGTTCAGTATGTTCTCAGCCACTGCCCCCTTGGTGACCCTTCCCCATGCCTCAGACACCTGACCCTGGGAAACAAAAACAATGAGGTACTACTTAACAAATTGATTTTTCTTAAAGTAAACTAGTTTGAAATGACCCACAGTCACATTTTTTGTGTCTTCATATCCTGCAATGCTACTTAATATAGAATCTGCATTCCTATGAACAGAGTATTTTTTTTTGTTTTTTGTTAATACTACATTTCAGTCCTTGAAACATCAAATATTTCATGTTGGTATATTGCTGTGTGTATTTTTTTTACATAACACTGCATTACAAGAGTCATCATCCTGTGCTGCCAGTATGAGTATATTCTTCTCACATTTCTGAATTTGTGAAGCATGTGTGTGAGTGCATATGCATGCAAGCATGTGTCTGTATACACACTTACAGAAGCCATGTCTTTAAGCAGGGTAATGATGGTTTCTGCAAGTTTGTTGTTCATCCCTCCTCTAAGCCACCATCTTGAGCTGGATTGCACACTCCTATGAGTGAATACAGACAGCATAAAAATAGATAGTTATCAATTTTCCAGTAAATAAAGGACGTTTCAAAGAAAAGTTGACTGTTAAACTGTTGTAGATTGAACGCAGTGTCATAGGTATTACAAACCACACATATTAGTTGAATGCATTTGCTATTATGCAAATTTACTTTTGACAAAACAGTAACTGTTGTATAGTGTAACATTTTAAACTCCACTATAACTATTTTCTTAAAACATTTTAAAATAAATCATATAATTATCTATAAATGATTTTGCTAAAAAAAATGACTTACTCAGTAGGAATACTGGTGGCAGAATCCACAGTATTGACAGCCTTTCCACTGCCCTTGACCTTCATCTGGACCGTCAATGCCTTGGCGATACAGATCAGGAAAACATCCAGAATTCCAGGCTTTGTGGGGTCAAGGTTCACTTCCTCCCCACCCTTTTTAGCCTCAGCTATGATACTGAAGTCTTCTGGTGGGAGGGAGGGGACATTGAGGAGACGTGCCAGCACCTGTGGCTGGACCTCTGGTAACACTCTCCTTAGCAGGGATACTACCTGAAGAATAGTGGACAAACACATTTAATATTATATTGCCTCCCCAAGTAAATGCATTTCAGGGGAAATTTCCACTGAAATGAAATTTAAGGCATTAAGATTACCAATGATAACACTTGTACCTGATATATATTTTTTGTACAATATCAGTTGACTTATTTTTCTACCATCATTAATCTAATCTATACACTGATTATATATGAATCTACAACATAACAAATATCCAAATGAAGAGATTAATGACATGGTAAAAATCTCCAAAAGAAAAATAGTTTCTGTCCTCTTTCCCCTCACCTGTCTCTGTACTCTAGGTGTGGCTGTATGGAGTAAACTAAGTAGATCTTGCAGCAAGCCAAGCTGCTGAGCCAAAAAGGTCCTCCCTACATTAGAACCACTCAAGGCAAGAACCATGGATAACAGCTCAAATATGTATGCATCTGAGGACCTTTAATACAACAGAAAAAAATGATGGGACATTATTCAAACAGTTATTAGAGCAATGCTCCACTTTCTAACAGTTACAGTAATGCCACCAGTTAAAAAATTCTACTTCTGATGTAAGTTTACCCATACAAAGATATAATTATATATAGCAGCCAAACACAGATATCTTTAATCTTGAAAGCTATTTCATCAAGTGCCACCAGCATTACATGTAGGTATAAAACTGACAAATTCTACATCAGTGGCCACTGTAAATACCTGTTGTGTTCTTCAGTCACCATAATCCCTTGATTAAGCTGTAAATCCCAGCTTTCTCTCACCCTCACCGTCTCCTTCTTGATGGCCTGCACGATGTGGGTACACACCTAAATACATTAATAAATCAGTAGTACTTCAATCATATGTAACAGTCCACCTGTTTTAAAACTAAAAAGTTATTAAAAACAAGGCAGCAAAGCTGTCAAATGTACAGACAAAAAACAGAAAATAAAGATGCAAAAAAAGGTCATTTTGTCAATTTTGATGCAATAATAAATAATGCTTAAAATAGCACTGTTAGTCAACACTGAATTTTAATCATGCACAACAGGTAACATGGTCAATAACAGAAGCGGACGCTGAGATATTTTCTGACAGTATTCCAAAGTATCTATGTTGATCCCTCCTCCATTTTGATGGTCTTCCAACAGAAAAAAATAGATACCAATCAATATAAACTTAATAACCTGTCTTCAAGAAGACCCAGAAAATGGTCTCAATCCACCCCTTCAATAAGATTACAGTTTCAGGACCATGAGAGACTATAGTCACATGATGAAAGTCTCAATATTTGAAAAATGATGACAGTGCATAAAATAATTTTATATAATGTTTAAAGACATAAAAAACAATACAATTGCTTATGTGGAAATACAGAAAATGTGCAGAGCCTCTAGCAAATGAGAGTTAAAAGTCACAAATGCAAGTGTTTGAGAAAAAATTGTAAAGGAAAACATAACAAAACTAGAAAACCACCGAGAGTGCAGACCTCTGCCAAGGCAGCAATTGTTGATTATTGTTGATTATTGATTGATTATTGAGCCAGACCACCACTAAAAACTAATCATTGTCCTCTTTGGCCCAATTCTGACAGTTCCTGAAAATTTCAGCAAAATCAGTCCATAACTTTTTGAGTTATGTTGATGACAGACAAACAGGGGTGAAAATATAACCTCCTAGGCAGAGCCTGAGGTAAATATAATTTCAATGAAGCTGCTATTCAAACTTTTAATCTTTGATTATATATATATATATATAATAACCTGCATAATTACCACTGCTTCCTTATTATTAATCTAGCAGAAAGCTTAACTTTTGGGAGTTTACAAGGAAATATCAACAAGTGTGCTTTATGTAATCTCCTTTAATGGCCTATCAATTAGGCAAATGACTTTATAACTCAGAAATTAGCCAAGTGATACCCAAGGGATATTAACAGACTGACCCTCTCAAAGGTCTTTCAGGCCCATAAGTCACATCTTAAGAAAAGCACAAAACAATAATGCACAAAATAGGAGACTACCAATTCTGATGCAATAATACATTATGTTTTACTGCACAGTCAACATCAAATTTTAATTATGCACAACAGGTAACAACGACGAAAGTAAAAGCATAAGGCTTCAGGCCCATCAGAGTTCAAGTTTATACTTAGAAAGTGCCAGAATGAGAAAAATGAAAATTTCACACAAAATTGCATAAATTCAATAATAAATGATAACCCAATTGACCTGGCTTTCTAATTTGAACTGCATGCCAATCCTAAAAATCATACTTGTAAGTTAAAAATAATAATAAGTAACACAGTTTTCTTTTCATAATGTTTGCAGTAGCAATGCAAAAATATTGTTGTCAATTTTGATGTAACATTAC